TCTGCTCTGGTCAGCAAACAGCATCATTTCATCGCACACGAAGCAGCCTCTTCCGAAACCAGGACGCAAGCCGTCACGACCAAGTGCAGCGCACACACCAGGCCGCGGTCAGTCAGGGATGCCACAGTCACCTGCAGTGCGAGAGAGAGTGTGTGTGAGTGTGTGTTTTTGTGTGTGTGTGCGTGACTGCAAGTGTGTGTGTGTGTGTGTGCGTGTGCGTGTGTGTGTGTGTGTGTGGTTGCGTTCGTAGGTGCAAGACAAGGCGTGCGCAGCCATGTGCGCAGGGCCCTGTGAACACCAAAGACAAAGACATCACCACAGTCCACATCTCCCAAAACACACACATCACACTCACTCTCACACGAACGCGTTTGTTCATCCCTCTCGCCCCTCAACCTTCCCTCCACGCCATGCGTACCTGTGACGCCGAATGTGCAGAACACGCGCGCTGGTGCTGAGGATCGCAGCCACAACCACAACCACAACCACGACCACGACCGCCTTCGCTTTCGCCGGCGTCTTCGTCGCGCTCTCCGCCGCGTGCTGCATCGCATCCGCGCTCACCGTCGCCGTCATCATCGCCCTCGTGTCATCAATCGCCAACGCAACCCATCCCCCCAGCGCAACCAGAGACCACCCCGCCGCCACCACTCCGCGACCACACCGACACCCAGCCGCGCCACCACCACCACCACCACCAGCAGCCTGACGATGGCGTGCACGCTCCACCAACACCACGCCCTTCTCCTCCTCGCTCTCCTCAAGTCAACCGCCCCAACGATGCTCAGCGCACGGCCATCACGACAGCCCCTGTCGCCACACCACCACCACCAGCAGCAGCAGCACGCCTGGTGCCACCTCCCCGCGCTCTGCCTTCGCCCCCTCCATCGCCACACTTGGGCGAGTTCATGATGCCCGAGCCACACCCCATAGCACGACCAACACCGCCATCACCAGCGTCCCCGCGGCACTACTTGGGCCAGTTCATGTTTTTCTACGGCAAGCCCCACATCACCTCCTTCGAATGACGCGCCATCCATCCTCAACGCAGCAGCTGCTGCTGCCGTGGCAGTGATGCTCTGTTCTGCTGGTGGTGGCTCTTGTTCTTGCTATGCATGTCGGTACCTGCGACAGTAAAACAAGACACACCAACACACAACGAGAACGGTGCATGCACAAGCAGGGTTGAACAGGGTGGGTGACACATGCGCAGATGTGAGACAAGGGAGTGGCAAGGACACCATGCAAAACAACATGAAGATACATGGAACGACAAGAAAGCAGGGTGCACAACACAACCATACGCACTGCCACGACCAGACACACCACCAATATACCTCGTTGCATGGTCTTGGTCTTGATGGGCCGCCGCTATCTTGATGGGCAGTCGCTGTCTTGATGGGCAGTCGCTGTCTTGATGGGCAGCCGCTCGCACACATGTCAGCGCCGCGCTGTTGGACAACAACAACAACAACAACAACAGACACAGAAACAAGAGCCAGATCACACACACACACGCATGCACGCACGTACGTGAGTGTTAAGTGGCTGGGTGTCTGCTTGCAGGCAAGTGTTTGCTCATCCACCGTCAAGTCGACAGGGAGCGCGCTCGCAGCAGGAACACAACAACATAAAAGAAAACCAGGACAACCGCAACAGTAACGGCCGATGCCGCGCGTTCAAAAGCAGCCTGAAAATGAACGAAACCGGCCATTGAAAAAATTCACCCCCCACTCCCTTCCCCCCCCCCCCTCATGCTCAACAACCACCACAATTGTCCACAAAACACACACACACACACACACACACACACACACACACACACACACACACACACACACACACACGAGACACACACACACACACACACACCAGCATGGAGATCCCCGGCATCATCCACATGGCGTTCTGCCCGTCCTTGCAGCCGCTGCCGGAGCACGAGAGGTCCAGCAGCAACATCATCGCCCGCCATTTCATCAACTTGTGGCTGCTGTACATCGACCAGCACCGTCGCTGGCGTCACTTCGACGCGCTGCTCCAGACACACTTCCGTCCCTGGTTCGAGCAGCACGCACGCGGCCTGGCCACGTTCAAGTCCATCACAGAGCGCATCGCCAAGCAGCAGCACAGCTGCAGCTTCAACGCCGACCAGTACATGGCCCTCGCCTTGTGGGCCAGCAGGCACGCCCACAGCACCGCGCCAACCCAAGCCCAGCTCCGCGCTGTCCACGACAGCTACTTCGTCCAAGGCGGCGTCTGGATCAACGACACCACGGCGAGCATTCTGGCCAGCATGGACGTGTTCACGGTCTCCCCCGAGCACACGGCCGTGCTGCTGCTGTACCACTGCCGCGATCCGCGCGTGTACGTCGAGATGGTCGGGACGCAGGGCACGCTCAACCAAGGGCTGCGCGACCAGACCGCAGCCTTCATCTCCATCCTCAAGAACATCCAAGATGCGCAGCAGGCCACCCTGGACGTGATGAGCGGTCGCCAGTCGCGGTACACGTTGACCCCCGCCGTCACACCGCTGCCACCACCGCAGGACAGCAGCACCGCAGCCGTCAACACCGACGATATGGACGAGTTCCAGTGGCGGGAGCTGTACATGTGATCGGGTCAACTGGAAGGATGATGCAGACAAGGTGGAGGGAGGGGAAGGAGCCAGGTGATGATGGCGGCAGTGCATGCTGACGCTGTGTGGTATGTGTGGGTATTTGTATGCACATGTGTGCGGGTGGAAGAGGGAGCACTGGGTGCCGTATCACTGCTGGTTGCGGTGGTTGCGGTGGTTGGTTGGTTGCCCGTGTTTTGGACACGTTTCTGCGCGTAGGTGGTGTTGTTGCTGCTTGCCGCTTGCCATTGTGCGTGCTGGTTGATGCTTTGATGGTGGGCTCGCGGTTCAGTTGCTGCTGGTGCGTGCACGTCAGTCTGGATTCACAGTACACAGAGAAGACAAGCAAAGCAAAGTAGACATCGGTGTGTGTGCTGGTGGGAAGGGGTGGAGAACAGATGGACAGCAGTCGAGGGCACGAAGCCTCAAACAGGGAGGAAGGCAAGCGAGCGAGAGCAAGCACACACACACACATACTCACATTTGCCTGTCCTCTTCCACAGTTGCCATCGTGTCTTCAGAAACGCACGCACACCCGCCTGCGTACTCGTGTTTGTGTGCGCTAGGCGGGGGGGAGAGGTTGTTGAGAGGTGGGGCTCAGGCGTGGAGGTCAGAGGTGAAGGAACCGTGTGCGTGGCATATTCCTGTGCTGTTGCATGCGCTGTTGCCCCAAAGCATTCACGGCTGACCCGTGTTGCTGTGGCCTGTGGATGTTTGGTTGCAGCTTCCACGTGCTTGGAGATGAAGAAGAACAGCGCATCTCACACGCGCTCGCCAATCAGCACCAGGTACGACGCCTGCTTCTGGCAAGCAAACAAACACACACACATACACACATACATACACACAAATGCATGTGAGCATACGCATGTGAGCACATACGCGTGTGAGCATCATCGTGCCTCAAGTACACAAACACACACACACACAAACACATATGAGAGGTGACGGCAAGCCAACCCAGCCATTCCACCCAACACAATCAATCACACTACTGCCACACATGCTCACCTCTCGCTGTGTCACCCCGTGTGCCTCCATCGTGCTTGAGTAGCAGCAGTATGACGGCCATCGCAACCGCCACCATCGCAACCGCCGCCGCCATCGTCACAGGCACCACCCGCGGACCCGTCCGTCCTTCGCCTCCATGCACCCGGTCATGGCCCAGGCCTTGATCGGCATGCGCGAGATGTGGTCGCCATGGCACCAGCACCAGCAGCAGGAGGACACGCGCGGTCACAATGACGACACGGCGCTGCTGCTGTTGGAGGAGGACGTGGTGGCAGGACTCATGCAGCCAGCCACGGAACATCCCTTGGACATGATGACAATGATGACGATGATGATGATGACACCGCAACACCAGCAGCAGCCGTATGTAGAGGCAGTGCACGGCCCGTGGTGCACAGACAGCGTTGATGATGGTGGACACGAGGCCGATGAGGAAGACGAAGACGATGACGGTGTCGACGTCCTCCTCCCAATGGGACAGCGGCACCACCACATGCAGCTGGGCGTGTAGTGGGACCATCCATCCATACACGTGCCGCTGCCAATTCCCAGCGACCTCGACCTCATCTTGGCAAATGACACCACTCCACGGTGGTCTAATGACACGATGTGATGTAATGTGGTGGCGGTGGCGGCGGTGGAGTATGGGGGTGTCGCTTGCTGTTGTGTGTGTGTGTGTGTGTGTGTGCTACTGTTGTTGCTTGCGATCGTGGTTGTTGTTGCCTTCTGCCTCGCAGCATGGTGTCTGCGCTCGCTGTTTTCGTCGTCGTTGTTGATGCTGCTGTTGGTGTCGTCGTGATGATCTGGGGTCTTAAAATGCCAGCAGACACGACCCGGCAAGAAGCCGTGAATGCAAAGGAGAACGATGTTGGCGAGGCTTGTGTCAGCGCCAGGTGTGGTGTGGTGGCAGTGGTGGTCAAGGTGCCAAAGACGACGAAAGAAATGGACCAACGTGCACCGCTACGCTGTTCTTGCTACGCGTGCCACTGCATCGTTGGCGGTGGGTAATGGTGGTGCGTCGGGCATCACCCACACCACCATTGTAAGCTGACGGCTGTTGTTCTTCCCATTCTGGTATCCACTCTGCTGTCATCATGCATCTTCGCATCGCCCATTGCCGTCATCATCCAAACGGAAGCCTCCATCTCATCACGTCATGAACGCAAGCCACGCGACCACAGCATCATGGCTTCTGCTGTGCTGTTACCGTTGTTGCTGTTACCGTTGTTGCTGTTACTGGTGCTGGTGCTCGGGGTGTCACGTGATGTTTGGGCAGCACAGCGCACATGCGTGCCCGCTTCAGGCGTCCTTCATCCACGTGGCGTTGTCACCAAACCGGTGTGGATGACTGTAATCGTGGCGGTACCTGCATGAGCACAAGAATAACAGAAACAACAACCAACAGCAACCACAACAACAATCGCAACGTCCAAAACCGTCACGTGAGACGAACGACGTGGCAGAGGAAGGGAATGCGCGTATGCTTGTGCCCCTTTCACACACGCACTCGCACATACGCAACATACGCACGTGGATGAGGTAACGTGGCGGATGCTCCGTGCACGCGTGAGGAGCTGTGCGTGAGTGGCGTTAACAGGGACGGCAGCGACCACACCACCGCCTTCAAAGACGTATGGTCAAGTGGTGCACAATGTGAACCAACTGACCACCTGGACATGTGTGTGTGTGTGTATGTGTGTGTGTGTGTGTGTGTGTATGTGTGTGTGTATGTGTGTGTGTGTGTGTGTGTGTGTGTGTGTGCGAGCGTGCATGCATGCGTGTGTGTGTGTGTGTGCGAGCGTGCTTGCATGTGAAAAGTGCATTTCCCAGGCTGTACCTTGGGTATAAATTATGCTGTCGGTGTTCAAAATGCGACAGCAGTTGCGCAGTTTGCAGTTTGCATGCGTGTTTTTCTGCTTGCTTGGGGCAACAGGGCTCCACAAGGCACAAGCACGCGTCCTTCCTCCTCGTCGCAGAGCTGGTGCAAGGACAAAGGCGACAATGGCCCAGAAAGAAGGCAGTGCGCAAGAACGACAACGTGAGTGGGTGTGACGAGAGTGTTGTGCACCTCCAACGAAACACGAGAACAGCAAGAGAGCAAGGTCGGTGGAGTAGACTTGGCACCGCATGCAAATGAAAGGTTCACACACACACACACACACACACACACACACACACACACACACACACACACACACACACACACACACACACACACACAGCACACACAAAACAGATACCTGGAGAGGAGAGGACAGCAGTTGCTGCTGACGCATGACCCTGACCCGGTGAGCCTTCAAACCAACTACGTATGTGTGTTCATCCACGCACGCTAGCTGCTGCTGCTGGTTGTGTCCTCGAAGCGTCTCCCTCACCACCCTCTTTCGCCACCCTGTTGCTCCTCCCTCGCTCGCCCTCCTTCATGCTCGCCGTTCGGGGGTCACCAGTGTCTGCACTGGTGAGCAGGCAGCTGTGCGGGAGGCCATGCAAAAGTAACGATGAGCATTCTGCGCTCATGGCTCCTCAGAGGTCGGGCAGGTTGTGCATCACAGCAGCGACAGCAGCAGCAAGCGACGGCATGCTTGTGGCAGCAGCGAGAGTGGTAGGATGTGGGAACGTATCCCGTGTCGGGTGTTTAAAGGGCGACGAGTTGTAAGACGAGAGAAGATGACATGAGAGAAGAGAACGGTGAGGGTGCAACAGTGAACATTGAGCAAGAGTGCTGCAAGTGAGCACTTAGGCATGGTGGACCCGTCACGACGATACGTGCACACGTGCACACACGCGCGCACAACAATGGAGGATCACAAGCACAACACCGCATGATGGCTGGTGAGTGTGGTTGAAGCCTCACAAGCAACGACAGAGGCATGACGCGCACAAATGCATTCAGACGGGGTTGGTTGTGTACCTCTGTGGTGCAGTTCGTAGTCTGCGGGTGTGACAGCAGCAACGACAGCCGCAGCAGCCGCAGCAGTGCCTCGCTTTTGTCATCTGTCGCTCATACCCCAAGGTTCTACATCGAACACAACCGACGGATGGAACGGAGGCAGTAACACATCACATCGTGAGCCAAGTGCAGGAGTGCAGGAGTGCAGGAGGTGCAGCACCAACAACGGAATAAGGGCCATGTCTGGCAGCAAGAGCAAGGACGGCCACGCGTAACCCACAAGAACACAAACGAAACGACACGCACGATCACGAGCAGTTCACAAGCTGCACCAGTTGTGATGAGACACACACACACACACACGCACACACGCACACGTGTGAGCTTAAACGAACATGCATTCCATCGTGTGCAGCACACTGTGTTGGGCGTGTTTGCCCATGCTTGAGAGCTGCGATTCCGAAAAGAGAGCGCACAGCCTGTGAACGTGATGTGGAGGAAGAAGTAAGACAACGAGCATCAAGAACGACTTGTGGTGAAAGGGATGCACATTTGTGAGCGAGCTAATGAGCTGCACTACCAAGTGCACACATGCACACGCACGCACACACACAACACGCATGCTTGCATGCAAGCAATGAAAGCAGGAACAGCAAAGCCTTCATACCTTTCCGGCTGTGCTCAGACACAAGCTTCATTTTGACGCACGTGCGCTCAAACCTTTGACAAAATGAGTGACCAAAGCTCAGCGGTAGGTCGTCATCGCTGTGTCCGCACACTTGGGCGAGGGGTGAGGCTAGAAGGCTAGAAGGCGCGTTCATTCACCTTTGCTTCGTCTTGCATGCACGCGTGCATGGCCTGGCCTCGCCCTGGAAGCCGCCCGTCGTCGTTACAAGGACAATCGCCGCCGCCATAATGGCCACGGTCCTGAAAACGGAGGAGGATGGCATGTCGTCGTCGTTGTTTTCAGATGTGTGTGTGTGTGTGTGTGTGTGTGTGTGTGCGTGTGTGTGTGTGTGTGTGTGTGTGTGTGTGTGTGTGTGTGTGTGTGGGTGTGTGTGTGGGTGTGTGTGGGTGGGTGCGTTGGGTGTGCAGTGCAGTCTTCTGTCCTGGCGTCAGCCAACAGGTCAAGCCGCCGGGGAGGTGCTCAGGTGCTCGGGGTGGAAGGGTGAATGAAGGCTTGCTCTGGCAAATTGTGCGACAGCAATGCAAAGAGACAGCAGTCGGCTCAGAGGAAGAAATGAAAGGAAGAAGAAGAAGGGAGCAATGTGGGAAGAAAGGGAAGAGAGTGGCTGAGGGGAAAGCCTCAGGAGAGGTGGAGGGACAACAAGCGAAACAACGCACAAGCACACAAAAGGCCTGAAAGCCAAGGTGTGGGACGCTAGGCAACAAACAACAGCACAGCAGCAACGAACACCAGAAATGGAGAAAATTTCCCGTGTGTCGTGAGCAAGCCCGCAAGGCTGTCCCGGTTTGTCCCCATTGGGTGGATCGAACAAAGGCGAAGATGAGACAACGGTGCGCTCGGTGGGTGGGACAGCGAACGAACGGGTCAATGGGGTTTGCTTCGTTCGCCTCGTTCTTCTGCGTGTTCGAGTTGTTAGGAGTTGTTGTACTATTTGCGAATTCGTGGCCTTCTCGCGTGAGTGAGACAGCTTTAGCTCTTCAGCTCGCTGATGTGGTGAGGGTGAACAAACAAACACCCTGAGCATCTCTTTCAGTCTTTCAGCATCCTCCACTTTCCGGCCACTCTCTTGCTGAAGATGGTTTGCTTTTCTTGACATCAAGTCTCACTCACTCAAAGACCAGCCCCCCCCCAAGCTCTGTAAGTCTGCAAGCAAGAGCAAAGTTTGCGTGAGCGTGAGCGAACTCAAGCAGAAAGACCAAACACCGTCCTCCCTCGTGTACCTCAACGACGTAACAAGAACAGAATTGAACAATGCGCGAGGAAACAAACATGCGTGCTGGTGTTTTCGACAGCAAAGGCAGTGGAAGAGTGGACGCTGTTCCTTTCTTCCTTTCACACTCCTACTTGGCAGCGGCTCTGCTGCTTCAGTACTTGGCACCGCATCCGACTGCGGTGTTGGGCGCTGTCCTCAAAGAAGATGATTCCGGCAGGCTGGTAATTAACCCCACAGACCCCGAACGGCGTCGACGTGCAAGGCCTGCACAACACGTTGCAAGGCTTCAGGACGAGATCGCCAGCATGAAAGACTTGCTGAACAGGAATTCGCTCAGGTGCGACGTGGACTCGGGCATTGCAGACGTTCTTGGCGACGACGAAATGCGAAGTGGAGATCGCAGGTGAAAGTGCACACCCGTGGACGCTCGCCGCTTGCTTCTCAAACGACGGCACCAATACATGGACATTGAATCGCTGCAACCTGTGGTCAAACCAAGAACTCGTTTGAACAGCAGAATGCCAGAACGACTTCAAAGGAAACGCGTGGTTTCCAAAGGCAGTGGACGTGCTGTTTGTCTCCAACACGGGCGAGTGGATCGCGCACGAAGGTGCGCTGGCCGGCGATTCCCTTCAAGCCCTCTTCTCAGACGTCCCGGTGCCGTGCAGCACCGGCTGTCTGAAGCTGCAACGTGTGTCCGCCAAAGGAAGCAGATGCGACGAAGACGTGTTGATGGCGATGGCACGGCTCCGACTCCATGTATGGCGAAAGCACACGCGGCTTCGCGTGGAGTTTTGGTCACAACGCCCGCCGTCCATTGGACGACGTGGGCGAAACTGGGTCGCTGAGGCCCTTGCGTACATCCGCCAACGCAGAGCAGTCTGCACTTGGATTTCTCGGCAGTGCTTCGAATGGCGCCTTCATGGAGGTGTATGTTCGTTGATGTGTCGACGTCGCCCAAAGTGAGGCAGAGGAGAAGAAGGACGGAGGGAGGGTATGCTTGTGCTAGCATAAAAAGAGAGAGAGAGTGTGTGTGTGTGTGTGTGTGTGTTCGCTTCAGTGTCTCAGCGCCTCGTTGTGCGCCTCTCTGTGTTTGCACTTTCATTCTGCTGCCTTGCTATTGTCCTCTCTCCATTCCTGCCTCTGCGTCCCAATGCCTCACTCATGGGCAAGCGTGTGGACAGCATTGGTCGACAGGACCGCAGGCCGGCAAGCTTATTGCTTGCGTGTCGATGTGCCGAACGTGTTACACGCGCCATATTCAAGACTGGTTTGTTGGTTTGTCAAAGGATCTGGTTTGTTGGTTTGTCAAAGGATATGCATGTCTGCGTGCACGGCGAATGCGCAGAGCTAGAGGTTTCAGCTGGAGCTGTAGGGAACAAAACACATGGATCTGTGTGCATGAAAGACAGAGGAGGGTGAGCAATTACTTCATGGTGCACTTCTGTGTCTGTCTGTCTTTGTCTCTGTGTGTGTCTGTCTGTCTTTGTCTGTGTCCTTACCTTTAGTGTGTGCGGATTTCTGCCTCCTTTGATGAACCTCATGTGGTGAGTGTCGAACGATTGCATCGACCTTTGTTTGCGTGCTTCGTGTATCTTCTGTTTCCTTTGTTCCACCGCGACTGCCGAGTGGAGTAGACCCACACACTCACACAGGCCTTTACGTTGACCACCCGGCATCTTGTGTCGACTGCATGCAGTTCAACGTCCAGACAGCGTGCACCATCCCTCTTCTTTGCCCACACTTCTTCAATGCACGCGTGTGTTGTGTGTGCTGGCACTGACTCCCAAACGAATAACGCCCGTTCTGTAACTGAACTGATTCCCCTAACGAGATAATGGTGTTTATTCGTTTATGACACGTCGACAAGACACCCAACAGAGAAGGAGAGACGCTAGAGATAGCGACCAAACGACCAAGGTCTTCGCCACTCGTGTGCAATTCAACAACTCAAGCAGCCTGAAGGGCTAATCGCCATCATCACAGGCCACTCCATCAAGAAGAGGAAGAACCAAACACGCCAACAGTGCAAGCAACGAAGACGTATTCACGAGAGCCATGTGTCAGAGTCAGCTTGCTGCGTATCATGATGCGTGTCGTCCTCCTGTGTGACGATGGCTCGATGGTGCCGTCTTGCGCACTCCTGTGCTTGTGCTTCACTTCACGGCCACACTTGCGACAGACATGGTGGGGCATGGTTCCAGTTCAAGACTTCTCTCTACACAGCTCCACAACAACAGCGTCAGCCAGACAGTAAGCACGGCAAACAGGCGACCAAGCGAAACGGAAGGTAGAAAGTGGCGTGGTTTGTGGTCGACAAGAAAATAGAGACTGAGAGGAGGACCAATGGCGCGAAAATTTAGGCGCATGCGTCACAAAGATGGGCAAACGGATCGCTCAATCCCAAAGTCAAATCTGCCTTGGAGCTGGGCACGTGTGAAAGGGAGAGCGTGGTCATCCATCGCCAACCGTTACTCACCTCACGTTGCTGTTGCTGCAGACAAGAGAACGAAAGAACTACGGGCAGTTCAATACTTCAATGCAATGTTTCATTGGTACGGTGTGATTTGTGACTGCTTGTCCACTCCAAAGAAACCAGCAGCGTTGATTTGCAGTTTTCGTAATCACGCATATGCAATGCACACGTGTTCGATCACAGATTCATGCAAACACACACACACACCCACGAACACGTCTGCGTGTGCGGTTCACCGTGGCTTGTCCTCTCCTCTTGTCTCCGTCCCCTGCTCGAGTCACGCTCTCTGTGGCTGATGGGGACGCCTGTTCTGAAAGACTGTCAACCACGACGCACGCACTGTCGCAGATGGGTTTGCTGACAGACTAGAGACATGATGTCCTTGTTTCCTTTGCCTCCTACTCTAACGTCTTCTCTCTGTGTGTCATAGCCCTCAAAAGGAGTCACGCTGTTTGGCTGCTTTTGTGTAACATCACACAGGTGGTTGTGACGACTTCTGTGATGACAACTGCAACGCTGGCTGCGATTACGGGTAAGGAAGCTCGTCTCCATACATTCCAAACACACACACACACACACGCTTGTGCAACATGCTGGCGCGTAAGTCCTGTTTGAGCTTGCAAGGCAACCCAATACGTGCATGAACCCACACTGTTCACCTGTTGCCGCTCGAATGTTCTTCTGTCCCCTGTTCTTTCTCCTTTGCCTGCTTCTCTTTGCCAGCTGCGATTATTATTGCGACTCTGGATGCGACTCGTAAGTTCAACATAGACAGGCGTGCGTGGAGCTGTTCGCACGCATCGATGTTGGCCGCTTGCTCGGGTTTTGTTGTTGTCTTCTCTTCTTCTGTTCCTGTACCTTCTACTGCTGCCCACCGCTCATGAGCTGTCTCACACGTCCGTGACCTTCAGGAGCTGTTCGACCAACTGTACGAGCTGTGATGACAGCTGTGATTCCAGCTGCGTCATTTTTAGCCTTGGATGCGACAGTGAGTGCAGAGCAAATCTCTCTTGTGCTTCCGAGCACCATCTGCATATCACACACCGCAAGCGCGTGCTTTTACGCTTGTGATGCCGTTGACTCGTGTGTTTGTGTCGTTTAACTCAGCATTCTTCACCGCTTTGGTCTGTTTCATTTTTACCACCATTTACAGGCAGTTGCGACAGCAGCTGTGATTACTGTGTCACCACCTGCGACGACTCCTGCGACACCTCGTGCGACGGAGGCTGTGGTGCGTTGCTCAAACATGCCACACCATGCATCATTGCCCCAGCCTCCCGTGTTGCACGGCAACGTACAACGGATGGCATTCGTGGTCTAACATTTGGACGCATGCGGTGTTTGCCCACATAACTTCAGACGAGGGCTGTGATATCTGCTACAGCGGATGCGACTCTGGCTGCGACATCTGCTACGACAGCTGCGATGATTGTGCGTTTGTCTTATGAATGCTTGCTTGCAAATGATAGGCTTGTGAGGTCATTTGCTGGCTTGTCACTGGGAACACGAGCTTGCTACCCGGGAGCGCACACATCACACACGTTCTCGTTCACACACGCACACACACGCACACGTACGCACACACACACAGACATACATGCACACGCGCGCGCGCTTTTCACTGATTTCTTTTGGGCTTGACAGGATTGGAAAGTGAATTGTGACTACGCGACGCAACGACTACTGTGCTTGGGTGAAATGATATACGCCAACATGTTTCGTCAGAGAAGACCTAACTTTAGGGCAGAGTTACTTGCCTTTCCTCATCCATAGACTTATCTCAGCCCTCGCTTGCCCAGAAACACCAAATCACCACCATATGCCGGCGAACATACAGCGACCCCCTACCGGGACGTTGGGGTGC